GTATTCTAACATTAGATCAGACGAGTACACTATTACATACCCTTTACATATGCAAAGATTTGAATCCATAACTATCAAAACTACATCCTTATGCCTTGTCTAGTGGCACCAACTCCTCTAAGACAAGTTGATTCCCTAAGAAAATTTCGGGGTTACATTGAATAGGTTCGTTAGAAGCAACCTGGAGATAAACATGGGTATATCAAATATGGACTTTTAAAAGGTCTAATTGATTCTGAGTTATAAAAGCCATTGATGCACCAGAAGAAGAACTGGTCTAAAATTCTAATAGAACATTTTTGTGCTTGTTTTTCCCATCTTGGACTGAAAATGAAGTATTAGAATAATGATGCATGAATGAGAGTACTCACAAATAAAAGAGGGTAGCTAGTCCACATGGAATATCTCTTCTATATTCTCCATGCATTTATCTTCTCCTAAAGTTTAGTTTGATAACTTCTACTTTTGAAAGAAAGTAAATAATTGTTAATTGTTTCTACGTTGCCCATCCTACGATTTTGATGAAAAGATAAGACCATTATTCGTAAAAGATACTTCTATCTGAAAATTAATGAAGTCCTAGCATATGTATCTGTTAAGTTAAAAAAAGAAGAACAGAAAGAAAATATAGTTATCCAGTGACCTTTATTAGTATTAATTTTTGTATCAAATTCTAAGTAAGCTTTTTGTTATCACTAAAAGAAGTGAGGAGGGAGAGAGGGAATTTGACATCGGATCCTCTAGATCTTAGAGTCTTACTTTTAGCCACTAGACTAATCCCTATTTTTTAATTTATATAAATTGTGTAAATGTATAAATATTGCAAATTTTTACTTTTACTTTGCATTGTAATGTCGTCACAATTTTTCTTTTACTAAAGCTTTTAAGTTCCCCTAAATCTTTTAGTTAATTTAACATCTTTTCATATATTTTTATTCTTTGAATAGATTAACATTGTCTCTTGGTTAGTTTTTTTTTTCTCAATCTATTATACTTCAAGCAAATAAAAAATTCGTCTCTCCATTAGTTTTATTTTTTAAAGAAATTAAATTTCCGATGCAATTGGGTTTCATTATTGTTTCCTTTAATAGAAAGATTCTACATTAATTTTTTCTTCTTTTTATTTTTATTTATTGTGTACTATATTCCTTCCAATATTTTAGAACATTGATGGTTCAATTCAGGAAATTTAAGAAACTGCATACTTCTTTTCTTTATAATTAGTCAAATAAAAATTAATAACCTTCTAATCAATTTCACAATTAGCCAATTTAAGAAACTATGAGCTTCTGAGTTATCCTGAGGTCGAGAGTTCGAGCCTCTCTCACCCCAATTAGTTTGCCCTCAGGGGCTTGGTCTGGTGGTTGAGGTTGCTGAAGATGGAGCCTCAGGTCCCTGATTCGAACCTTGCTGCCAGCAAGTTGCTGAGGGTGGTGAATAGTCTGCGGGGTCCACTCCCTGCGGGACACACCTAAAAAAATAAAAAAAATAAAAAAATAAGAAACTATGAAAACTATATAATGACTTTCTTTTAATTAGACAATTCTCATGGAGTTCTGATTTTAAATTAGCCTCCAAACTACTTTAAATTCTCATAGAATTCCATCTAATTTTGTTTTTCCTTGTGTTAATCGATTAATATAGAACACATTAAGCTTTATTACCATTAGAAAAAAGAAAAAAAAACTATAGAACATTTACTGCAATCTCAAAAAAAAAGTTATGGACTATTTTGATGAAACTAGAAGGGTTGAGGGACTAAAAAGTTACTCATATTCAATGATAGAGCCAAGGGGGGCAGAGGGGGGGCCAAGTTTTGAAAATTTTAATTCATAATATGTAAATATGTGTGTAAAATAAAATTGGCCCTCCCTAAAATTTTAAAATTTTAGTTTATATTATGAGAGTTAATTTATATATATATATATATATATATATATATATATATATATATGAATTAGTCATCGAGTGGATATATTTCTTGCAACAATTGATTATCAATTGCAAGAGTTACATAGCAGGTTTAATGATCATATCGTGGAATTGCTTATTTTGAACACTGCTTTGGATCCTATAAATGGATTTATGCTGTTCAAGATTGATAATGATATTTGTAAACTTGCAGAGAAGTTCTATTCGAATGATTTTATGGAGCAAGAACTAGTATGTCTAAGAATAGAACTTCAACATTTTGAGCTCGACATTCCAAATCATCCTGAATTGCAAGAATTATCTAGTATTCATTGAAAAATTTAGCAGTGATTCAATCATAGATGAATTTAGTTCTATGAAAGAGCGTAGAGCTCAATTTACTTCTAAGAAAATATGTTGAAATTTCAAAGTATGTTAACATAACTTTTATCTTTTTTCAATTGAAAATAGTTACATTTATATTACATGGTTATATATATATATATATATATATTACATAGGTGACATATTGGAGAGCATCTTCTCATAATATGCAAATTGGATGGTTTGTGATGTTATAAGATATTTAATCAAAGGTTATCTTTTTTGTTAATTTTTGTTATGACTGTACCGAATATTTTGTGAATAGATATAATTAAATTTAATATTTGATATTTTTAGATGTCATATATTTAAATAGAAGAAAATTATTTTGAACATAATATATTAAGATAATTTTATTAGAAAAAAATTTTGGCCCCCAAAAAAAAAAATTTCTGGCTCCGTCATTGCTCATATTGGTCCACAGCTACTTTTTCAATGTCAAATGTGTCAGCTTCAAAAAAGGAAATTGTTAAATGTGACAATTTCGACGGGGACCGATGCTGTGAGTTAGTACTTGTTTACGTTATATTGCCTCCAAGCAGGAAAGTCCATCCCATCACAGCTGTTCCAATCAGCCTTCTTTACATCGCCTGCCCATGTAAAACGTTTCCATTGTGGATTGGATTGTTATTACTTTGGTAGAAATTGATGACTACTTCAATGGATTGTAGACAAAAGCCATCAACGAGGATGTCTGTTTTGAAGGTTTTTTTTTTTTTTTTTTGGTATTTTCAATAGATAAAGTTTTTCTCCAATTTTATTATAATAACCTCTAAAAATATTATAAATTTTTTAAAATATATATGTCGAAACATCAAAAAATACACACTATGTTTTTCTTTTCCATCACCACCCTCTTACGTAGCTTACAATTACTGTTGCTCGTGGCTCCCATCTTTTTTTTCCCACTTTCCCTTCCTTCCTCTCTTACTCTTTCTTTTCCCCCTCCCTCTTCTTGTCTTGCCATTCCCACCCTAACCTCCTTCACCCCTTCCCTCATCGAGCTAGTCAAGAGACTAGAGCTCACAGGAGAGAGGGAGAGGGAAGAGGTGAAGAAGAGGCAAATTAAAGAGGTGGTGGCGGGGGAAGGAGGAGGAGGGGAAAGAGAAGAGGCAAGAAGGAGGAGAGAGGAAGGAGGAGAGGATGGAGAGAGGAAAAAAAAGAGGAAAGTGGAAGGTGTCGGCTACAGGTGAAAGAAAAGAAAAAGAAAAAATAAATAAAAATTTTAATTTCTGCATAAAAGTTTTTCTATAAATTTATAAGATACCTTAAAATTTTATACAGACACTTCAAAAATACATTATTCAAGTGGACCAGAGGATAAATCATTGCGTGGCTGATTCATCAGAAATTGAAATACACTATTCAAATGGACCCCAAGATGAATCATTGCCTCGCAGACACGTTAACAATCCATTAAAAACAGACTTTCAAATGGATCTGATGATCAACAATCATTGCCTCGATGGTACGTAGCATTTACGTTAGTTCAATGGTCAATGACAAATTCAAGGTCCTAAAGTCCAAACTTATTCCTAGGTGCTGGGGAAGAAAGTGTGTTACGACTTACGAGGTTGAGAATATCTATCTAAACTACTTAAAGCCGCGAAGCCTGATGAATAGTTGATTGTGCCGGTTTCACTGTGATTTTGCAGCCAATTTCGTCCTTTTTGGTCTTTTCGTGGGCTTCATGCAGCGCCCTTGCTTCTTCTTCCGCTTGTCCTCATTGCTTTTTTTGTTGCTTTGTTCCCATTCTGCCCTTCCCTTGGTTCGTTTGTAATTTTGTCCCCAATTTTGTCCTTTTGTTTCTCCTCCATCTTCCGCTGCTGCAGTTGTTATGCCTGACTTTATTCACAAATGTTACCTTTTGTCCCCAACTTTGTCCTTTTCTTTCTCCTTCATTTTCCGTTGCTGTATGTAATTGTTATCGCTAGCTTTATTCACGAAAATGTTAGCTTATAGTTTTTATTTATTAACTTTATTTCACATATAACTTCCTTCAATCTTAACTTTGTATTAGCATTTCTTTCTTCAAACTATAATTCTCTCTTCTCTTTTATATTTATTATTATATTCATTAATCAATAAATTAATTACTCAAAATATATATATTAACAAACATATTGATTTTGTAAAAAAAATCCTTCACATATATAAACAAAAATATATATAATATACACAGCATTAAACAATCATAAAGTATATTTTTTCACCCAAAAAAATATATATAAAAAAATTAATTTTCTCCAAAATATATATATCAACAAAAACTTCATACACATCCAATAAATATAAATCAATTATTCAAATCTATCTTTAACTTCCATTCATTCGACTAACCATTTTCTAAAAATATCCAATAGCTTCTTTCTATTCCAAAAATCTTATTTCTATAATATATATTAACTACTAAACAATTAACTTAAATCTTTTCCACTTCAAAATTGAATAACACAATACACATACATTCAAAAAAAAGTTATAATTAATTCTATACCCTTTATATACGATTTATCTTCCACAATATATATATTAGGGATAATTTCAGAAACCTCCCCTGAGGTTTCTGACAGTTTCACTCCCCTCCCCTGTGGTTTCTGAAATTCCACAAACCTCCCCTAAAACTAAATAGGCAAGGCCAAAATAGACCCAATTTAAAAATACAAATAATAAAAAATTGGTAGCTGGAGAGAAAAACAAGTGTATACCACAAATGCCCTCATTATCTTGGGTTAGAGAGCTAATCAATTGTGAAGAAAAATGAGGGAATTTAAGAAGAATGAAACTTGAGGGGGTGTAAGTGAGACCAATCAACAGACAAGCACACAACATCAGTAGTGAACAAAATGGAAGGCAACAATTCTTTCTGCAGCCAGTTCTAACGTCTATATGCAACGACCAATTCAGAAGGCTATTTATCAGAGTAAAATGCAGCAGCAAGAGATGCAACTGAAGTGCAACAAGTGTTAATTTGTGAGATGCAACTGAAGTGCTTGGTGTTAGGTGAATTGCAGCAGCAACAAACACACGCACAAATGGCCAATTCAAGCAGCAGAGGTGAATTCCAGAATTTTGACGGACAGTTATTCAAGTCAGTGCTCTGTTTCTTTATAGGCATAGTTTCCTCTTCATGTATTGCTGCCAATAATTTTGCAATGCCTAATGGATTTTTGCATACATGCATTCAGGGAATCCATTCTGATTTTTACGTCCCTGAACTAACACCTCTTTTGGTGGCTTCTTCCCTGCTCATGGTCATGAACGATTCTCCACAGCCACACTACCCTTTAGAATTTGGATTGATAAATATGAACTCTGACCTGATCATACCAAACAAAGATGTTTGAGATTTTAGCAGGCAGCACAAAAAGGTTAACTGTTCCACTATACATGAGGAAAAGGAGAAATAACATCACCCCGCCATAGAACAAAGTTAACTTCGAGGCTAACCTCTAAATCATAGTCATTATCTGAAACAATGCTACAATGAAAAGTATAGAGCAAAATTTGTGTTATAACTGTAGAGATGCTTCTGAAATTGAGTTAAGCATTAATACAAAAGAATTTCATACCTCAGTTTGTCATCGACAAAGTCCATCTTGGTTCCTATGACATGCATGAGAGCCTTCGGATCAACCAATATCTTAACACCCTTGTCCTCAACCAACTCATCAAACTTCTCTTTTTCATCTATACATTTAAGAAATTTGCGCATCAGGCAAATAACTATCAACCAAATTATGGAAACAAAACAAAAGGAATGCCCATTGTCTTCTGGTTACATTGAATCCTACAACATCATTTATTATCTCTAACAGTTATTGCAGTGCACCAACTCTCATCAGGTGGGATTCCCGCAACACAGGCAAATCAATGAAAGAACACAAAGTACATGGATAAACAAAAGTCCAGCAATGTCGTTGAACAATCCTTTCCTGTTCATTTTCTTTTTATTTCCAAATTTTGGACAGGGGAATGGCGGTAAAGAAAAATAGTGAAAGTGGTAGGAAATTGGAAAGCGTGAGAAACGAACTGTTGTATGATGAGGACAAAAGACCCTTAACCATCCAAGTTTCTACTCAGATTGTGATTCCAAGCACTCACCTTAAGTTCATCAAATGCACGGAACAATATAATATCTAGCCAAATAACCTAGGTTTGACTAGGATTAAAATTTTCAAGATACAGGCAATTCAAAAATGTCACCAGCCTGAGGAGTCAACAAAAGAATCATCTTCTGGATTTAATCGCCGTAAAATAAATTAACCAATAAAAATCTTCATATTCGAACCTTTCAGTTAACGTTTTCACTAAAAGGGCAAAGGATAGAACCAGGCCAAGTAGAGCCCACTAGCAGAAATCCCTCTTGTTGTAAGCTTCAAACAAGAAATACTGATAGAAAAAAGACCTTAACCTATCCATTCCAGTCTACTCGGCATAAAGGGAAAAAAGTTTTTGTTCTAAATCTACGACAGATAAAGCCAGAACAAATAACTCTACCAGAGATTTTGGGAGGAAATTTAACAAACTTATCTTAATTGAAGCAAAAATTACATGCGGCAATTGGGGGAAAAAATGTACAATCTAAAAAAGAATTGAAGAGGGGCGGGGAGAGGGGGATTGATTTTGAGAAATGGAACCTGCGTAATTAAGGGTGTAAGATAAGCCGTTGCAACCGCGAGCTTTGACACCAAGCTTGAGAAATGAGCGCTGCCGTTGTTCCAACAGCTGCCGTATTCTGGAAGCGGCGGTTTTGGTTAAGGTGAGAACTTGCTTTCTCAGGGCCGAAGCCGGACCCATCTTCTCCACACCCCTCTCTTTAACGTCCAACAATTTGGACACGACACGATTGACAGTAGCAAGATCATGGCGCCTAAGTTTGGCGCCATTTCACTACAGACCGTTTTCTATATTGGTTGTTAGGACTCCCAATTATAGTTAATTACATTAATTGCGTTTATAACTGGCTTAACTAATAGTTTTCAGATAATCATGAAATATTAGCAAAATGGTAAGGGTATTTAAGTCATTTTGGCACCAATGATGTAAGAAATGGGACCTCACCATCTGACAGGGGAGGTTTGTGTAATTTCAGAAACCACAGGGGAGGGGAGTGAAACTGTCAGAAACCTCAGGGGAGGTTTCTGAAATTATCCCTATATATTAACAAAAATATTTATTCTCTAGAAACACAACTTTAATTCTATAATACAAACACAAAATTATTTTGACTACAAAAACATATAAATATATTTTTATATCCTATTTATCACCCATTTTACATATCTCCACTTTTTCCAAAATATATTTTACTGCAACCAATTATTTTTCAAATATAACATAATTCCTCTTTATTTCAAAAATACTCCTTCAATAATATTCGTTAATAACCCAATTATCAACTTAAACTTCTTCCATTTTTAAATTAAATAGCATAACACAAATACAACCGCCATAAAATACTTATCAACAAAAAATTCATAACTATCTAATAAATACAAATTAATTGTACCACTTTCCATTACCTTCCATTTACTCTATCCCAAAAATATTACTTCAATAATATTTCAAAAACTAAAAAATTCAAAAATATACAACTAAAAACCAAAATTTAAAAAAAAAAACTTTTCTCTAAAATTATAACCTACATTATCATTAATAATATGGGATAAAGCAACAATGGCAAAAAAATATGCAATTGAATCCTTTGACAGAGTACTTAGAGATTTGCTGAATTCTGATCAAATATTTGGTGGAAAACTCATTTAATTTGTTTGGACAAGCCAAATTTGGCTTGTTTAATTTGTTTTCACAAATCCCAATCACCTTTTTATCTCACATACATCACATCACAAAAAGTGCTACAGTAATATATTTCAAATAAATCATCCAAATAAACTCTTATCCAAACAAACTCATTGTTTTCGGTGGAAATTTTTGACAGACTTTACCAATTGTCCACAAAGGTCAAATAGAAGATTACATTTCTGCGTCTCTCATCAACTCATATATTTGGCCACACCTCCAAAAGATTCGATTGACTGAAAATATGAGAGCATTTCTCGATCCATCATTCTCAGATTTTCTGCTCAATATTGGAAATGGCACACAAGCAACCATTGCAGATGACAAGATACAATTGCCTTCTTCTATGATTGTCTCTTTCATTAATGATGATCAGCAATCCTTGCACACTCTGATAGACACTGTTTATCCATCTCTATCTAGCTTTTGCCCTCAGAATTCAACTCTCATTAACAGAGCCATTCTCAGTACAACAAATGATATTGTGCACGAAATCAATCAAATTTTGATTCAGAAGTTCCCTGGAGAAGAAATCAAATATATCAGCTTCGATGAGACAATAGATCCAACAAAACAAGCTGATCACGGTGACTTCTTAAATACTATCCACCCCCAGGATTACCTCCACATTTGTTGATTTTGAAACCAAATTGCCCAGTTATTCTCCTAAGAAATCTGAATCCAGCACAAGGACTATGCAATGGAACCCCCATGATATGCTTAAATTTTAACAAAAACATCATACATGCACAAATTTCGGTTGGAATTCATTCTGGTAAACAGGTTTTCATTCCTCGCATTCCATTGCACAGTTCTAATAATGAGTCATATCCAATACCTTTCAAGCGTACTCAGTTCCCAATTTCATTATGTTTTGCCATGACAATTAATAAATCACAAGGACAAACACTTGATTTTGTAGGATTATATTTGAAAGAACCAGTATTTTCACATGGCCAATTATATGTTGCATTATCAAGGGCCAGAATTGCTAATGATGTTAAAATTTTACTCATACGCATTGCTTCTGATTCTTTGTCCAGTAATTGTACTCGAAATGTAGTGTATCAAGAAATTTTAGCAGCTGCAGCTGAAGATTAAGTACTGAACTTAAAAGTTTTCAATTAAAAGTGCTTATATTCAGCATCTTATATATTTGCATCATTCCATCCATATTAATATACTTTTGATGTTCTATATTGCAGGCATGGATGACAAATGCACTCCTGTGAATAGTTTGACAAATAAATCAAGTGAGTGGATAATTAAAGTCGTTCTGATTGAAAATCCTATGTATATCTAATACATACTAACGAATAAAAATTCTATATGTATCTAATCAATATATAAAAATCGATTATGTTATTTTGTATTAATGCAGATCAATGAAAATTATATGTGTTTAACCTATATATAATATATATAAATTAATAATACTGCCTTGTATTAACATATAATAAGTGTTATTTATATCAAATAATTATAATTTCGAGACTATTTCTATATTTATAATTTTCTCTCCTTCTTTATATTTATCCGCTTATTTATTAACTCGCTTATTTATTAATTTTGTCGAAAGTGTGTATATTGACAAAAATATTAACTATTAAAAAAATACGCAAATCACTAAAAATGCTATGCACATCTAATACATAAAATAGCCTTCTTTTTATGTTTATTCGCTTATTTATTAATTTTCTCCAAAATATATACATTAGCAAAAATATTAAATGTGAAAAAAATGCAAATTCCTAAAAATCCTACGTACATCTAATATATGCAAATGAATAAAAATTCTATGTGTATCCAATCAGTATATATAAATCAATTATACTGTTTCATATTAATACAAATCAATGAAAATCGTATGTACTTAATATGTATCTAATGTATATAAATTTAATTAATTTTCTCCAAAATGTATATATTAGCAAAAATATTAAATATGAAAAAAATATGCAAATCGCTAAAAATCCTACGTGCATCTCTAAAATGTGTATATTAACAAACATATTAAATATCAAAAAAACATGCAGGTTGCTATATACACAAACATATTAATCAATATATATAAATCAATTATGGTGTTTTGTATTAATGCATATCAATGAAAATCATATATGTTTAGCATGCATCTAATATATATAAATTAATAATACTACTTTGTATTAACATATAATAAGTGTTATTTATGTGAAATAATTATAATTTCGACACTATTTCTATGTTTATAATTTTCCATCATTCTTTATATTTATCCGCTTATTTATTAACTCACTTATTTATTAACTTTGTCAAAAGTGTGTGTATTGAAAAAAATATTAACTATCAAAAAATTATGCAAGTCACTAAAAATCCTATGTATATCTAATACATACTAACGAATAAAAATTCTATATGTATCTAATCAATAGATATAAATCAATTATGCTGTTTTATATTAATGCAGATCAATGAAAATTATATGTGTTTAACGTATATCTAATATATATAAATTAATAATACTACCTTGTATTAACATATAATAAGTGTTATTTATATCAAATAATTATAATTTCGAGACTATTTCTATATTTATAATTTTCCCTCCTTCTTTATATTTATCCGCTTATTTATTAACACACTTATTTATTAATTTTGTCGAAAGTGTGTATATTGACAAAAATATTAACAGTTAAAAAATTATGCAAATCACTAAAAATGCTATGCACATCTAATACATAAAATAGCCTTCTTTTTATATTTATTCGCTTATTAATTAATTTTCTCCAAAATGTATATATTAGCAAAAATATTAAATATGAAAAAAATATGCAAATCGCTAAAAATCCTATGTGCACCTAATATATGCAAATGAATACAAATTCTATGTGTATCCAGTCAATATATATAAATTGATTATGCTATTTCGTATTAATACAAATGAATGAAAATCATATGTACTTGACATGTATCTAATATATATAAACTTAAAATTAAATCAATCCAATATTTATTGATTCAAAAAACAATTATTCGATCAATAAATACAAATATATGATTCTAAATTTATAATTTCAAATTTTTAAAAATCATTAATTTGTATATATTATATTTATGAATTTGTATTCTTCACTATATTTCTTTTCTTTTAGTTTTTCAATACTAAACTCTTCCACTATTTAACACACGATCTTGAATCTTTGATGAGTTTCATACAAATTACATTCCAATCAATAAAATTCATGCACTACATTGCTACTCTCATTTCATAATACAACTACGTTTTTTCCCTATTTTCTATCTCAGGTACTCATTGGTGATATACCATCGCATATACAAACAGACAACATAGGAGTCATCAATTGTTATCATGCTAAAACTCGATGGATCTTTCAGCTAGAAGGAATAGAAATAACAGAAGGTTGGCCAATATTCGCACAAAAACACTTCTTACATGAAGGAAGTGTCATCCTGTTCACCCTACTCAATGAAAACAATTATCATCTGCAGCTCTTTAGCAGAGACTTTATCCAACAATCATAATTAAACATGACCACTACAGCTTCTTGCACATAGCAATTATATGTTCCCTAAATTTTCTTTATTCTACTTCCACTTATATTTAACAATATAAAAATAAACATATTGAAATTATTTCGAATTATTAATTTATCTCAACTCTTAAAAAATGATTTACATTCCATTAATTTAAATAATATTTACATCCTGTTACTCTTAAAAAATTAAATACAAATCACAACAATATTACTATATCTATTTATAAATATATTAATCCAATATATTGTTCCTCTATTTATTATTCCAACCCTACTATCATATAAAACACTCTAAACATTAATTATTAAATAAATCTTACATTACCCTTAAACAATCAATAATGGGCACCCGCGAAACTCGCGGGGCACAATGCCTAGTGTTTCTTTTATTATCTATCACTCGCATTATTATTTGAACCAGGAGTGCCTTGCACTAGTTCGATTGCACAGTGCAAGAATTAATTTTCATCTAGACTTTTTCCATCAGTATTAAGCTAGAT